TTCTGGTTCACCCAGGCTGAAGTACTGGCATTCAGTGTAATGCCTGAGTGCTTCTGAGATATAGAATATACTAAGTTTTTACATTCATGGTTAATATAGGGAAGTGTTGTCTATCCTTTCTGGTTCACCCAGGCTGAAGTCTTGGCATTCAATGTAATGCCTGAGTGCTTCTGGGATATAAAACATACTTAGTTTTTCATTCATGGTTAATAAAGGGAAGTGTTGTCTATCCTATCTGGTTCACCTAGGCTGAAGTCCTTGCATTCAGTGTAATGCCTGAGTGCTTCTGTGATATAAAACATACTTAGTTTTCATTTATGTTTAATATAGGGAAGTGTTGTGTATCCTTTCTGGTTCACCCAGGCTGAAGTCCTGGCATTCAGTGTAAGCCCCGAGCGCTTCTGGGTCATATAACATACTTAGTTTTTCCTTCCTGTTTAATATAGGGAAGTGTTGTCTATCCTTTCTGATTTACCCAGGCTGAATTCCTGGCATTCAGTGTAATACCTGAGCACTTCTGGCATATCTAACATACTTAGCTTTCGTATGATGCACGATCCTCGCAGTAGAGGAATATATGAACTTCATATATACATTGTATACTTAGCTTTCCATTCATGATCAATCTAGAGAAGTGTTGTGTATCCTTACTGGTTCACCTAGGCTGAAGTCCCGGCATTCAGTGTAATGCCTGGGCGCTTCTGGGATATATGACATGCTTAGTTTTTCATTCGTGGTTAATATAGGGAAGTGTTGTCTATCCTTTCTGGTTCACCTAGACTGAAGTCCTGGCATTCAGTGTAATGCCTGAGCGCTTCTGGGATATATGACATGCTTAGCTTTTCATTCATGGTTAACACAGGGAAGTGTTGTCCATCCTTTCTGGTTCACCCAGGCTGAAGTCCTGGCATTCAGTGTAATGCCTGAGCGCTTTTGGGATATATAACAAACTTAGCTTTTCATTCATGGTCAATACAGGGAAGTGTTTTCAGGCTGAGGTCCTGATATTCTGAGTAATACCTTAATGCTTCTGGGATACATATCATAGTTACTTTCATTGACATTTACAGGTTAATCCAGGGAAGTGTTGTCAAGTGTTGTCATCCTTTCTGGTTCACTCAGGCTGAAGTCTTGGCATTCAGAGTAATGCTTGAGCGTTTTTGTGATATATAACGTGAAGACATTTTTGTGACTCAAACTTTTCTGCTCTTTGAGCTCTTCACCTATCAACAGCAGAGCGATAGGAATAAATGGTCATTTGAGACAAAAATTTGAAAAACAGTCTCATTTACTACTAGAAGTCGCAAGACAAACTGCGACGGGAAGAGAACATCAAAACAGAAAATGCTTCAAAAAAAAAATCAATAAATAAAGCAAGGAAAAACAGCAGCTAGTACATTTGTTTGCGAAGCTAGATCGTGAAATTTCCGATGCGATGTTTTTATAGGACGTAAACACACGACGACGACTGATTTCTTGACAAACTGGGCAATATGAGATAATGTAAACTATGAAACAACACGTAATAACGCGCACAGCCTCAAGTAATCGATAAACCGCATTTCCTTGAATAGGCGCCCACCCCCTCGGCCATCCAAACTTGTAGCTCTGAATAAGCGCGACAGAGGAATCCTTGCTTTTTCAGCTTTCTTTCTTAACATTTTAAACTTTGACTACCTTAGATGAATAGGTTAGGAGAGATTCTTACTTGAAGAGTTATATTACGCCGGTATTACCTTGCCTTTTTGTATGGCTGGCTTCGCAAGCGGTGCAAGATGCAGCGAATTCTGTGAGCTGATTGGCTCTTAGCCCTTCCTTTTTTTTTTCGTTTTCGGCGGTGGCCAGCATCGCAGCCATTTAGTCGTTGTGTAATCTGCAGGCAAGCTCTCTCTTGGCTCTCAACACTTGGCTCAGGTTTGAGCCCTCATGCTTGGCCAATAACGCATTACTAAATCTACTACCGCGCCCCATGTTAATTTCCAAAACGACCCTTGTGCACAACGCTTGACTTATTTACAGTTGGTTTTTGGGAAAAGTTAATGTCCCACCCCTCTCAAGAAAGCTTTAAAGAAAATAAAAATTCAAGGACTTCAAGGATTCATTGAATTCCTTGGCGGACTTCCTCTGAAATTCACAGACTCGCAAGACAGTACCGGAACCCTGTTAAAATTCAAGGGAGTTTAAACTTGTTCGTACCGTGTCATCGACGAAAGTTGGTCTTTGTCTCTTTAAACTAATTTCTCCTTCCTCCTCTTTCGCATTTTTCAGCTACACATTGTACACCTAATAATTTTTCACTTCGTAAACTTTGCCAGCTTGTTCAACATCTCCTATCTTACAACAACAAACATATGAAACATATGTATGAACTGCGGTTATGAAACGTATATGTGCACGATCCTTCGCAGTAAAGCAGTATTTGAGCAATAGTGAAAATCAGACCTGAAAAAAATTTCAGGCCTGTACGGGATTCGAACCACTTCGTAAACCACATATGCGGTTATGAAACGTATATACGTTTCATAACCGCAGTTTATACATATGTTTCATATGTTTGTTGTTGTTTGATTTATCATCTACGGGTTTATGTCGAATTAATTTGATGGCCTGCTCCCAGTTGGCTTGTTAGCTCAATTGGTAGAGCGCTGCACTAGTATCGCAGAGGTCGGTGGTTCGAATCCCGTACAGGCCTGAAATTTTTTTCAGGTCTGATTTTCACTATTGCTCAAATAGTGCTTTACTGCGAAGGATCGTGCACATATACATCTCCTATCTTGATTTGTAAACAATGATCACTACCCCCGGTCTCTGTTTATTCACGATTTTAATCATCGTTGCCGAGGAGGTAGCGCAAAAAGATTTTGAACACAGTGCATTAATCACATCGTTTCTATAATGTCTGAAATCTCTCGCAAATATATCGAGGATTCCGGAACCAATATAGATAATCTGAAGGCCAGTGACAAAGAATCCTATGAGTACTCAATGAATATAGTTTAAAACACTGGAACAGTGTGTAAACTATAAATGCGACATAAAATATCATTGAGACAGCCGCCATGTATTGTGGACTCTGCGTTAAACATGAAAAGAAAATCACCGTAGGTTGTAATACGCCGAGTTCATTCCCAATAACTGGTATCATGATGCTCAAATATTATAGCACCGAGCGTCAGCCGTCAAAGATTCCAAACACAACGGAAGAAAATCGTCGGTTCAAGAATTTATTTTGTCTCCGATCCGAAAACAAAAATCGGGTAAAATTGATTAGAAAACTGGACACTCAGGCCGCCAGTTGAGTGCCTTAGTAAACTATAAGCGTCGCAGCCCGTGTTAGTATTAATGAAGTCAACTAAATACGCAAGCATCGACTAAGAAATTTTTCTTCAACATGACTGTATCATTAGCTGCAACACGCTCTGGGCTAGCGCTTTGTCTCATCAGTATTTTTAAGCGCCAATCACGTACACTTCTTTCGGATACCGCTTCTTTAATTACCTTTTCACGCCATAGGATGATGACGTGATTGCGTAAAAGTTGACGCCTCTATCAGATTAGAAGCGAAATACGTTCAAAGATTTTACCCAAACAAGCTACTAAGGTATCTAGCAGAGAATGGGGACTAAAAAGTACCGATTCTCTGCTGGATACCTTGGTATCTTTTGGTTGCTAAGTTGAGTTTCGCTTAAGTGGTCACTACTGTGCGTACGTTATTTTATCCGTTACAAGGGGCGACTTTGTTTGACTTTACTGCACACCAGGTTTTTCAGCTCAGTTATTTAGTTAATTTTGGATCGGTCTGAGATTCGTGCCAAGATTTTTCTGGTACCTGCCGTCGTTCACGGCAGGTACCAGAAAAATCATTCATCATCACTCAGTGATGAGTAGCCAAGCGGTAAAGCCCGCTTGCTTAGAGATTCCAGGGTAGATCGAATGAAAAGCACCATACTGCTTGTTGGGGTTCAAACACAAATCTGGCTTAAGGCTGCATTGTAGCTAGTTTGCCGAGCCGACAACCATGCCTTTCTGCTCGAAATATGTAAGAGTATAACAAGAACCAAAAAATGCTCTCAATCTGTCAATTATCCTTAAGAATTAGTAAAACGTGCGCATTCCGGCACGCCACCCTCCGAATGGCTTCAGAGGATTTTGTTTTCCCCTTGTATGGGCTCGTTCACCTAACCCCTTAAAAAGTGAAAATTGTCTTCTTGAAGAAGCCCTTTACAACCGATCCGGCGATGGTCACCTGAACAACAGCCAGCACTTTCCCACACCGTCAATCCTCGCTCGTCAGTACACGTGCACGAGCACATGTCAACTGCAGTCCAATGATGATAAGATTTAGGTTGCGAAAACTGAAGATATTTTTTCTACAACGTAGAAAACATGTCTCCCTTATGTTCCAATGAAAAAGCGCTACTTTGTAAAAACAAAAACAATATTGGTTTCATGTTTTCCTTATATAGTACCTTAGACCAAAACATCAAAACATGAACGCTGTTTGTAATTTCTAAGATGTCAAAACATCCTAGGGGCTAAATCCTGTTATCTACAAACGCAATACATGCAAAACCTGCTTTTTTTTTTGCCATTGAAAAACACACTTTTTGACGAATTAATGCTTTGCTTACCTAGTTATCAAGGGCATTCCAAGCTCTATCGTTCTTAAATCATGTGCACATAAGCGCACGAACGAGAGGAAATTTAAAAGAAAAAGTATATCATGACCTGAAGTTGGTAGACAAAACATTCAAGCTAAAGAGGTTGGTTCAATTCTGTCTCAGGAATTATTCCGTATTGAAACATAAATAATTTCGAGGCATCTTAAAATTCAACGACAGCTGCTTTCTTTCAGAAAGAGGCAAAACCTCAGGAAAGGTAAATAACGAAATTTGCGGCTTTTATCATGTTATTTTTTCCAACATATTTTGCCTTAGAAATGTTTCGAATAGAAATAAAACGCGCGCCGAGTTGATGTCTGGTCGATGAAATGAGAAAGTTAGCTTAAGTAATTTCAGTTCCTCAAACTTAGTATCCGTTGGCCTGTTGATGTTCCAAACGCCAATTCTAAGGCCCTTTGGTTGGAAGCTTAAAGATGCTGAAATGGCAGAGTTTTCCCAGGTTGGGATTTATACCGCCAGCAGTCAGCAACGATGTCTTGTTGTTTTGAAAGGCTAAGCGCCTATCGCGATATACTTCAATTCTAACTGAAGAAGAAGAAAATTTTCTTCTTGTGATGTTGATAGCTATGCTTTTAGTTATTATTAGGTTTCGTTGGAACATCTTTCGTTGGACAAATATCGGCGAGGAAGGTTAAGAAAAGGCAAGCCAAAGCGAGTCCTAGTAGAGCGCCACAGGCCGCCATCTTGAAATCAGTCGATTGTCCGCCACGGGACGAACCAAGATCCTACTTCGAGTAGATGGATATCTCCGGATCGATTAAAGATATATTGATTTGCCTCAATTCTGAATCAAACTAGAATGGTCTGTAATGGAGGTCAGAGCAGAGTGAGTCCCTGGATTTTGAAAAATAGCAAAGAAAGGGTCATGATCCTGCCACGACTTCAAGCAAGAATTTTAGCAAAATTTACTCGTAACGCCCATAAAAGGTAAAACTTCAAATCTCTCTCCCTGTGTAAAAGGCTTCTGGAAAATCTTGTGATGTTTACGAGACGCGGGCACCACTGCGAAACACCTCCTCGCGGATCTAAGGCCAAATTTTGAACATTATGGTTTTTGAAATTGAGTTAAGGCGCTCCATATACAGAAAAGCTAAGGAAGGCTCAGTGAGCCACCAGTTGGTGTAACGGTAAAATCGGGTGTACTTTATGCGTAACAAAAGCAAAATATACTTTTATCATCAGTTTTCGAGGACTGAGACTAAAGGACATTCAAGACTATATCATAACCTACCATTAATAAAAGCCACGGGATATGCCTGTACAAGTGCTAAAATCCTAAAAATAAGAGCTCCTCTTTGAAAAGGCTAATTAACTTTTTCATGGAAAATAGAGCCTTTCCTAAACAATGGAAAATAGCTCAGGTGTCAAAAAATAGTAAGTTTTTATTCCTTTTTCATCTCAGTTATAGATCGTCATTCATTTTTTTATTTTAAGCTTTATCTTACTGAGGGACACAGAGTCATCCGTTTCACTCCTGTCACGCGCTCTACTCTGTCACGCGCTTCACTCTTCAGATAACGTCAGTTATGACTTTGTAAAATGTATCATAGAAATTTTCTGTAATGTGCTGTTCAAAGTTTTTGTGATCTGTTTCAATTTTCTTAGCCTTGGTGCTGGTATCATGGATAAGGAAGAAGAAACATACGACCGTTGCAAGACTGTCCAAGTTATCAGACGTACTAGAAATGTTTTTCCTCATAAGGATGGCTGTTGGTCTTGGTTGGTGTGTTTTTCTGCTGTTCTCTCCAACGTCGTAATTTGTGGATTTACATTTAGTTATGGCATTCTATTTCCTGCCATCTTGGACGAGTTTAAACAAGGGAAAGCTAACTCAGGTACATTTCCTAACTCACAAATGATTAAAATTACGAACACAGGCGAGCAAAAGGACAAGCTCTCGCCTGAAATAAGTTCAATACAGGTGGACATATAAAAACAAAAGCCTCTGTTTAGCGCGATATATATTCACGGATGTTTGTCCGTGGATGTTTTTCCGAGATTGGGACAGTTTTCCGAATGCGAAGGTTGAGGAAAATTTTGAGCTTCGAGGAACAGATAATGTCCAAGGACAAACACAGGATCTTTTTCCACGCCAAATGAAGTTTGTTGTGTTTATCATCCGTTAGATATTTTTGCAACGCGTGAAGAATATATTTTCGAACAGTTTTGTTAGCTGTACGTGGATGTTTACTCCACAGCGTTCTCTGGTCTGCTGGTACGACTTTGTGAAGAAATAATACCTTCCTCTGGGGCAGTAGCTAAACGCTTTCATATCTTGAATTCAATTTAAACGAAACAGTTTATCACAGTAGATGTTATGTTTGAAAATTTTGGAATATCTCTTGAGTTATATCTCAGATATACCCCAAGTTATAAATGAGACATATTCGATCACGTAATGTGTTTAGACGAATCGCGCGCGAGCAAAAGTGTTTGATATATCATGATGAACAGTTATTCCACGAGGGCGCGTTGGATATGAGATGATAGATGGCCAACGGGGCCATAGAGCTGTGCCTATTGATTTAGTTTGGCGTTGCAGCCATTGTATAAAATCATCGTAATAAGAATTACACAGCAGAAACTCCATAAGTGACTGTTGAGGATGCTGCACAAACTATCTCCAACCCTTTAAATTGTAAATTCAACTTTAGCCTATGTAGGGCTTTAGGCTACCATTGGGGACGAAGGGGTGTGCGAGATAAAGAAAACTAATGCGCTTTTTAGCTAAAGTTGGCTTTTCATCTGAGTCACCTTGCTCCTTCGCTAGTCCCCATAAATTGAATACTTGAAGCAGGCTAATATCACCACGTGTAAACTTCTGTATCCATGTTTGACCATAGCAACTCTCTTTGCAGCTTGGGTTGGATCAATCGCAATGATGGGTATAGGCATTTATGGTCCACTGATCGCAAGGTTGTATCATCGCTTTGGTGCTCGAGTTGTCTCATTTGTTGGAGCCATAATCTGCACTGTCAGTCTTGCTGTTACGTCTAAAGTGACAAACCTGTACTTGATGTATTTAACCTACGGATTACTGTTCGGTTTTGGCTCTGGCTGCATCTACCTGGTGACCTACATAGTTGTGCCAAGATACTTCATAAAATGGCGCTCTCTTAGTTTGGGTCTCATAGCTATGGGGCCTGGTGGAGGGATGTTTGTCATGAGCCCTGTTGTGCATGAGTTGTTCGTAAGATTTGGATGGAGAAGAACATTTTTAGCAATGGCTGGTATTGTATCCGTAACTTGTATTCTAGCTTTGGTTTATAAGCCAATTATGCTAGACTCTGATGTGGAACACGAGAGTAATGAGTCAGCAAAGGATGATAAATTCTGGGATGTTACGATCCTCAAGCACAAAGTGTTTGTCCTTATAACAGTTGCTGGGTTTGTGTACTACCTTGGCCACTATACTCCACATGTACATATAGTAAGTTTGAAATGAGCCCATATCACCCACCTTTTTCACATGTACATAACGCAGTAGTACCGTCACACATCACGCCAAGCATTTCATGCATTGTGTTCTGCGTATCATGTCACGGCCTTACACACTGGGACAACGGCTAGAACACATGGCTTACGGCATTCAGTACTTCGAGAATTGCATAACACACATCGCTTACTTCACGTCAATAAAAATCATCAGTTATGAGTATAAAACACTACACAAAATCTCACCCATCTTCACGCACATTCGCATACTTCAAGTCATACTTTCAAATTGCATTTTATGTCACAAAACTCCCATATTTAACATCATTAGTCACAGATTTTATTGCATTACATCCTCATTACAAAATTACTATTTGGAAGCGGCAGCTGGCTTATTTTCTTCCTGTTTGCTCGTATAGGTTCGTTTTTTGGAAGGCAAAGGAGTCCCAGAGGCTAAAGCAGCACGTTTGTACATCTATAGTGGTCTAGCTTCCTTGCTAATCCGACTGGTGATTGGTCAACTGAGCGACGTTGCTTGGATCAATATGTTCTATATTTATGCAATAGCCACAGGTGTTGAGTGTGTGGTTACCTTCCTGTTACCTTTCGTAATCACAAACATTAGCCTTGTTATATACTTTGTGGTGTTTGGATTGGCTGATGGTGCAATGGGTTGTGGTTTGCCCATTGGTGTGATAAACAGTCTTCCAGAGAAAATGAGACCATTGGGGATCGGGGCTTACAACTGCCTCAGTTGTTTTTCCTCAGCTTGTGGTCCGGCTCTTGGAGGTAAAGTATAATTTTGTTTGCTTTTCAAACGATCAGTGGAATCCCCTTTTACAATTGACGTACAGTCCCCTCAAGCATTCGTTGGGGGGAAATGTGTGTCGGTTATATTGACAATCGCTCTTGCACGTGCCCGGACTAGTTGGAGAGTTCTTTGCTACATTAGTGTAGGCGAAAGGGAGGCTCTCGGGCCAAGGATAGCTATTCCAAGTGCGATAGATTCTTATTCTTTTTTGTTATGGGTTTTTTTTAAGGTCTAGTCGCAGATATAGAAAGATCCTACGTCCCTATGTTCATGATGGTTGGTGCTTTGTTAACTGCTGGTGCTGCGATGTTAATTGCAGTTTCTTGCGTGAAGGAACCTGAGTTGCTGCGCCCGATTTCGTTGAAAGAAATTGAAAAGTGGGAGGTGGAAGCTCTTGTTGTTGTAGAAAAGTGCTCTGTTGTTTAAATGTGTTTTTTTTTCTTGTTTTTCTTATGTTGTAAAAGCCGTTGTAAAACACAAAATCATGCCAAAATGATATACTTTTACTAGGTGCTGCGCCACCAAGAATTCAGTGTCCTTTATTTTACGTGTATGAGCGTTTCGCCTCCAACGCGGTTTTGGTTGCGGAGACAGAACTGTCACAGACGCTTTAGTGTTGTGACCAAGGTAAACTCAAGCAGGCTTTTTCACATACCTGCTTACTTTTCGGTTCTCTTTGACCACTAATACTATAGCAATGAAATTCATACGAACCCCCGAAGGAAAAAACCTACCCGGCTATTATCATCTACCCTCATTCTCGACCAACTGTAGGTCATGTAAACATCCAGTCCCTTAGGCGTGTATTCCTTGGTCCGACACATTTTAGTGGGATTATGTGCATGTCAAGAGTAAACTTGACAGTGACGATACAAAGCAAGGACACTACTAAGCAGATAGAATTTAAGCTATTTGAGGCATAATCTTTTTTCTTCAATTCATATTTGTTTATAAAAATTTAGTCATTTCTAATTGAGTATTCATCATATTTAGGCAGCTCTGGGGATAAAGTCTTCATTCGTCAGCTGACATCTACAAGAGATTGAGTAAATTTACAATAAAAAAGCTGTTAACGAGAGACAAATCTTGTCATACTTTATTTCAAGTTCTTAATTATTTCACTATTTTGAAGTAAGTGATAGCTAGACTGTAAAAGCCCAATATGCATGATTTATCGACAACTATTCAATTATATAAAGACATGGGTATCTTCTAGCCTCTTCGCCTTCGTGAGAGGAATTTTAAGCCTACCTTGCGAATATAATGCTTTCTTGGTTGAGTAGGAACACATCGTGCTTCAATTCAAATATTTGTTTTATTATAAAAATTTAGGCATTTCTAATTTAACATTCATCTTATTTAGGCAGCTCTGGAGATAAAGTCTTCATTCCTCAGCTGGCATCTACAAGAGATTGAGTAAATTTGCAATAAAAAAACTATTAACGAGAAGCAAATCTTGTCAGACTGTTTTCAAGTAAGTGACGGCTAGACTAGTACTGTAAAAGCGCGACATGCGTAATTTATCGACAATCATTCAATTATGTGAAGACATGGGTATCTTCTAGCCTCTTCGCCTTCGTGAGAGGAATTTTAAGCCTACCTTGCGAATATAATGCTTTCTTGGTTGAGTAGGAACNTACAAATGCCGCGTGATATTTGTACTCGTCTATGGCCTTAATTGTACTCTACGAAGTGTAGTTAGATTGTAAGTTACTTTATTGACAAATCCATCGATCGAAAGCGAACATACTGTCTTATTGCTGAGTTTTGACCCTTACATTAAGAAAATAAACTCCTTCATGCTAAACTTGTAAGAAATATGCGGTCTAAATCTCTCTCAGCAGAATTTTCGGTGACTGAGAGAAGTTATATTCTCTTGCAATGATATTGGTTCGCATTTTAAGATTGCACACAATTTTCGTCTCTTTGGAGTAATAAAACCTTTGACCTTTCAGTTTAGGTAAATATCCGATCAATAAGGCAAGAACAAACATAACGGTGGAACAAGAATGATCAAGTACATAGCCCTATGAGCCAGGTAAACCACTTTGATAACAACATCAGTTTGTCATTTGTCATTCGCAGCCGTTCTTGGCGTCGTCATTGGGTGCAAAGGTAGCCCCACAGGCGGCCCAAGCTCTCTTTGAGAACCACACAAGGAACATAATTTGCATATCGATTTATAAGGATTTGTATGGGATTTTCTACAAGATATCCATAGAGATAGTAAAAGTGAAAATATTAAATACAAATGGCTTACCTTGTTCCATACGTGTGTTGCTTGCTCCTGGTGTCGTTATTTTACCGATTTCGCTTGATGTAAGCGGTTTTTTTTTAATCCTGGTTTTCTCTTCTTTAAGAGAAGAGAAGGCCGAATACTTCTGTCCAGACAGCCTTCCGAACGAAGTAAAAAAATCCCGAGCTAAAATGTACCCACGGCCACAAATCCACTGCAGAATTCAAGGGCAAAGGTTGACCTTTCATTTCGATTCTCTAGCCACACAATCTCAGCCCTGCGATCGACGCCAGGCGGGTCTTCGTGTCCTCAGTGAAACGTTAAAACGTTTGTAGACATCCGAGTCCTTTTTAAAAACGACACAACGACCGTTGAAATAGCCCTTCTCGCATTTGTGTCTGCAATGCAAAGGGTCCGCGGAGTTACAGTTTCAGGACGAGGCTATCGGGTCAACGTTTCTCGAGAAACACCAGAAACACTCCACGTCTGACCATATAACTCTGGAATCTGCGCTTTTTTTGGCCGAGGAAAAGGTTAGAATTCTTGGTGGTAATTGTCCTGGCATCACAAAAAGAAGATTGAAAGAATGGCTGTTATTTTGGAAAGGAACGGCAAAATTCTGTCGCGTTCGTTCATGACTACGAATGTTGTTCCTCTGTCGGCCTTTTTGAGGTTTAACTCAGAGTCACGTTTCAAGGCCCTCAGCGCTTTGCGTTCGGCCGGAAGCAAATTATCTTTTGGCTTTGTAATTTCTATTCTAAATAGCTTTCAAGGGCTACTGATTTTTGCATTGGTGGTATCCATGTAGATTTGACGTGGCAGGGATGGGTTTTTTTGTCCTCCCCTCGGAATATGTAAATCAGACGCATTCTCCTTGCGAACTGATCAAAGTCACACAATAGTTGTTGTCTGATCTGTTTTTGTTTTGTAGCGGGTGTTGGAATGAATTTAAGCCCTTTTGCCAGTAAATTAATCTGGTCGTTTGTAAGTTCTTTATTTGAGAGGTTTTTTATGTGCGTTTTGTTCGCCTCTAGTTTGATAGTTGAACGTGTTTGGCAAGACCGCGGTTTCGATCCTAATCTTGTGGATCTCGTCAGTTGCCGATTCACTGAATAGACTGTTGCACCCGTACGCAATA